AAGAAATGTTCATTTGTCAAATTCCAGTTATTATGTATGGAGAGTTCAAGGTTGAATAAGATATATACCCAGCATTATTTCACAGCAGTGCATCAAAGAAAGGACAGTAAAGCCTGGTTCACACTAGTGACATAACAGAACAACATCAACATGACGACATAAGGAAAAGATCAGTTTTATCTTTATGTCGTAATCTTCGTGCTGTTGTTGCTAATGTCATTATGTCTACATGTTCACACTTGTCTACAAACATGACGTCCTTTTTATGTTAATTGAGATAACCTTTTTATGTTGTTCGTGACGATGTTATGTTGCTAGTGTGAACCAGGCTTGAGAGATTGTACAAAGAAGTTTCCTCAAGTACTTATTAATAGAAAATTAAAAAAAAAAAAACATTAAGTATTTTTTTGTGTTCTTGTGTTCTTTCGTAGTTATTACGGAGAAAAATAGTCATTCAAGTTGGGTAATAAGTTGGGTCGTGGGTTGTTTGTTTTCCTTTGTTTGCTACCTGTTGGGTGTTGTTGCTTTGAATCTGATGCATTCACAACATTCTGTTTTTGTTTATTGTGATGGTGTTGACGTGATGTTTCAACCTCAACAATGACCCATGAAGTTCAGTTGGATGTTTTACAATAACTGCAGAAATTCTTGCATGGTCGTTGGCTAATTTGCATTGTCAATAAGTGGACAAACACGCGATTTCATAATTTATGTGATAATTTCTTTTTCAAAAAAAAACAATTTGACGTCAAATTTTCATGTGTTTGAATTTTGTCATAACATTGTCAAAGTAGTCTGCAGATCCACTCAGCTATCGCCTTGTGAATCCAAAGCTACTTTGACAACATTATCAGTTATGATGAAATTCATGATCAATAACAGGACAGATGCATGAAAAACTGACACCCATTTTTTCAGATAAAGTTTTGTGACACGAGCAAATCCCTCTGGGATGCACTGTTACATAGAGAGACTTCAGCATGAGGGAGGACAAAGCTATCAAAGAATTCTTTTATTTATTTAGTGCATTTTACAGATATCATTTCATGAAAATAAAAAATGCTATTTCCCTAATCTGCAGAATAATATTGATTTTGATTCACTGGTCAGCCATGTGAAGGTGTTATACAGGCTAATAACTTTGAAATTATTTGATTTCTTTGAAGTAAAATAGTGGGATTACACTTCACAGGCTAGTGTAGTTCAAGGACCATAGTCTTGCTTTTAGTCTATACATTTACTATTCTTTCACTCCTCCAATAAAATTCCCTATTGTTATGTAGTATTTCTCAGTTTGTAGAAAAACAATTGATCAAATTATAGTATCATATGCTGAAGTTAAATATAAAAGGAAAAAACGACTGGCCAAGTAAAACTAAGGTTGACCATTGTGTGTCTCTATTTTATATCAATTGTAGCTGTCAGTTTTACTTTCAATATTTCAATATGGTGTCATGAACATTTAATCCAAAGCTTGGTTTATGAGGTCTTCTTGTTCGGAATTGTGGTGATGCTTGTTGCCAGTTGCAGTTGATGCAGATGGCGGGCGACCAGCATAGCTGCCGAAAGAAAAAAAGTGAAGCATTTAGCCCTGGCCAAATGAACTCGCAAGTAGTCACAAGTAACTGCAAGTTGATCTTGCTTAGAGACTTGCATTGGGTGGCCAAACAGACTCGCAAGTTTCCTGGCTTGCAAGTACATGCAAGGTACAAAAAACCCATTCCAAGGCAGATATATCCTGTATTTTATTGGCTAGTAGTAGGTTAATGGACATCACTCAACTTGTGTTGACTTGGGTTGGGTGGCCAAATGTAGAAATGTGCAAATTTGATCTCAACCAAAGTGAGTGCAAGTCATCGCAAGTGCTCACAAGGCCTGGCCAAATGGAGTCACAAGTAGACCCAAGTTTTCAACTTTCGATTCTGTTTGGCCATGGCTTTAAAAGGTGTAGTGCTTGAACAAGTGAACAAGTCCTTACAGTAGGACTTTCTGACATGGACCATTTCAGCAATGACAGCCAAACCATGTCGTGGAATGGAAACAAAGAACTCAGAATTCAGCTGACCAAACAGTGTTAAGTGCAATAGAGCATTTTAACTTGGAATAGCATTAATCAGAATTCCCTATTCTGTTCTGCAATATTGATAGATTTTCAACATCTAAGTGGCCAGGGTTAAATAAATGCACAATAAAATAATCAAAATCCAAAATATGTTCACTGTACCTGATCTTAACTTTGTTTCCAACAGAGGTTACAAGGCGTGGCTGAACATAAGTCCAGTACCCCATGTTCTGGGGCTCTTCTTGCGCCCACACAATCTCTGCATTGTCATACTTTTGGTGCTCAGCCCTTATTAAGTCTAGAGGGAATGGGCTTATCTGAAATAACGAAAAACAGTCAGTACTAAAACCATGATGTGTATCCAAAGTGTAGACAAGCTCTCAGGCTTCAACTGACTGTAAAATTAACCTTGAATTCAAATACAGTGAAACCTCTGCTAAGTGGTCCATACCTTCAGGACCCTCCCTGGTGTCTGCTTAAAAGAGGGTGTCCACGTACAATTAGTACTCACCAGACCCCCAGTTGTTTGAAGGCTGGATAACACTATCCACAGGATAAATTGCTTTCCAGTGGATAAGTGTTCACAAAACAAACCACACTACGCACTAGACATACTGGATAGTGATGTATCTGTAAGATAGCGTTATCCACCTTTTCAACAATCCAGACTAGCGCCATAATGAACATAGAGTGCAATTATAATTGTAAGCTTGAACATAACTCCCTCATCTTGCTTATGTCTCAGTGCCAACGTCTAGAAACATGGTCAAAAGCACCTTATGATCAATGTAATCATTATCACAAGAAAATTCATGGTCACTTTCTTCTGATTTCGATTATGTCCGTGACTAAGATTATGTTGCTTTTATCATTTTGTAGAGGAAACTTGAAAATCATAATGACATAATCAAAAACACAAATGTGACCATTATGCACACAGGATTTCACTGCTTTCATTAGTAAAGTGAAACCTTTAAGTGGAAACCCTCGGCACCTTCCCAAGTGTCTGCTTAATAGAGGGTGTACGCTTAATTGAGGGTTCCCATAATAGAGGTTTCACTGTATTATACATTGTAAGGGTTGGAGTCTATGCTGTGCATAGGAAAAAATGCACATTTTAACATTTTGGGTTTATAAAATCTTGTAACTTTAAAATGTTTAATTCACTAAGTAAGTAGGTACTACATAATTTGTAAACATGTATATAACATCATTAGTTAGGCATCAGTGATTAGTCCAGGAGGCTTTTGCCTGCAGCTTTGAATTTGCCATGGTATTATTATAACATGCATTTGACAAAGATTTGAAGAACTGGATGAGTGGTATTTAACACACATAGTCAAGTCAAGTCAAGTCAAGTCAGGTCAAGTCAAGTCATCTTTAATGGAGACATTAACAAAATTACACGAAACCGGTTATTTTGATTCATTCAGAGGTAAAATTTAAGGCTTGAATGAAGCATTGGCCTTGTGAAATCATGCATCATAATTCCTTTTTTGTCTGGTACTGCTACCTCAACACCAAATACAATGATATTCACAAACCAATGTCAGTTTTCCTGCAAAATAAATGACAGCTAATATTCTCTTATAGGTAAGCAAACATTTGGATGCAAAACACCCAGTTATTGGATCAGCTACAGTTAGCAATTAAATTTCAAACCATGCAATCACTCCACACACAGAGAGTTAAGAACACAAACAGAAACTCCAGAGCAAGGTTAACAGTAAACTGTTAAGGATGTAACCGAGGCAGTAACCTTCATGCCTACTGTTCATAACTGCTGTTGAGGGATTGGTTGTTTGTAATTTCAATATTGTAAGTTCCTCCTCAAACCATTTCTTTGTCACTTACACTTCACGAAACCTTTTGCTTGAAGGACCATTGTGGCGAGTGTTTTCACAAAACGTGAACTGTTTGTCCAGGTAAAATGTATTAATATGTTTAAATTCTTATAACTGAATGCAATGTAGCAGTCCTGATCAACAGTTTTCTTTGATTTCTCGTCTAAGATTTGGTTTTGCTGCCTTTTCTTCACTTTGCTCTTGACATATCTGCATGGCGGGTGAACATTAATAACTTATGTTGTCAAACCTTATATTAAGGAACAATAACATAAAAACCCAACTGTTTTTGGGATCACTAATATGCACAAGTTCAGCTGCCTACCCATTTGAGAATCATTCACAAGTAAGTGTAAAGCCAATACATTTGATTTTTGTTTGGATTCTATTTGGAGTGTTATGCTGAAAGGAAGTCACAATTATGCTAATTATGCTGTATTACCTGCTCAACACGAGAGATAGCAATGTCTTCCTCGAGACCTCTCTTGTTACGTTCCTGAATGAGAAACCCAAACTTGACAGTCAAAACCTTTGAATTGCATACTGGAGGATTTATGAACACTTGTGGTATAAAAGCAAGATGTGAGAATGAGAGTTGACATTTTAGCGCCAGGCACGGAAAAGGGGAAGGTGAAAAAAAGGATAGGAAAAGGGAGAAGAGGAGCAAGGGAAGGACAAGGGAGAATGAATGGAGGAAGAAGGAATGCTAGAGGACAAGAAAGGTTTGAAGGAGGGGAGGGTGAAGGGGGTCAGGAGAAGGAGAAGAGGTCGAGAGAGGAAAAAGGAGATGATTATCAAAGGGCAGGAGAGGAACTTACAAGCTTGGAACACATGGCAGAAGACAGGAATGAAGGGGTGGAAGAAGGGGGTGCAGGGAAAAGGGAAAGAGGACAGGAGAACAAAGAAAAACACAAGGGCATGGCAGAAAGGGTGGCTCACAAGGAAGGATGAATTGAAGAAAGATGGAAGGAGGGATGGAGGAGAAAAAACTGGTGAATCAGGAGAGAGAAGAGACAAAGGATGATGAACAGAAGGAGAAAGTAAGGGAACCAAGAAATAGAGTATACAAAACAGGTGGAGGAAAAGGTAGACAAAAAGTGTAATTGGAAAAAAGGGCCAGAATGGAAAAGATCATGAAAAGAAGGAGTGGAGGAGGTAAGGGGTCTTACTCAAGCTCAATAACACTCACCTTTGCCAATTCATAGTAGACTTTGCCAGTACAAAGAAGAAGTTTGCGAACTTTTTCAGGGTTGTTTGAGGCAGGACCAGAGTCGGGAATCACTCGCCTAAATGATGTACCTGTGCATTGTAAACAACAACTGGTTCTCAATTTTATCCTTCGGCAGACCAGAGCTGCCAGGAACATTTCACTGTGTAAGAGCTACAGTTTCTCATACCTTCTGTCATTTCATCAAGGTGAGACCTGGCAGCTTCCAATCGTAGAAGACTTTTTGGTGTCAACAGGATCAGCTGTTGAAAAACAAACATAATATCGTATATGATTTCTGATGCAATATTTAGGATACTGTCAGGTTTTTATTATCAATGATGCCAGCTAAACATAGGCTCTACAACCATGCTGAAATTCAAATCTTGCCTTAACTAAATTTAAAACTTAAACTGATCAGGTTGCTGTGATATTCTCATCGTCTCCTGTTCCCTCATTTAAAGTGAGAGTTTGATTGATGAGGAAAGGTTTGTGTTCTTGTTGGATTTTCTGTATTTGCAAAAATATGGCTTAATAAAAGTTGACTTTTTACCCTAACATTAAAAATAAAATTAAAAAAAAACAAAAAACTTACAGGCTTGCGGAAGTTCAGTGTAATCTGACGCCGTAATATGTGGAAGAAGTTAGCAGGGGTACTGCAGTTGACAACCTGAAACAGTGAAAAACATTTTCTAAAAATTTTAAGAATTTTTTTTAGAATTTAACACAAAAGCTAAGAATCAGGTACACAATTTGCACTCCAAAAACATAGCATGTTCATCTTCATCCACAAACATGAACAGGAAGCAAAAGTGTGGTACAACTCCTGGAAATACATACAATGTTATGTCCTTACCTGCCAGTTAGTAGAGTACAGCTGATTCACTTCAAAGAGCTCATCTACCATCTGCAGAAAAAATATAAACACATGTAACTGTAACTTAATGCTTGAATGAGAAAGGAAACATAGAAAGGGAGGACTGAAGG